CATTAGCCGTGCGTTTCTTTCGGGGGTGTGGAGCGGCACTTAGAGTCGAGACCTCGCAGTACGAGTTGATACAAGACTTGAAGTCTACGAAGACCGCCGCACCCTCAGTTGAGTTGATTGGGTTCTGGTGCCGATGCAATGTCTAATACGCCGTGAGCGGGAAGTTGCCGCAGCCGCTTTCGAGACACATTTCGCCGCTGTGAGTCGTGGGCAGCGAGGTTCAAATACGACTCTGCAAAAACTAGCTGATATACCAGGAAAGAGCAAAGCAGAACTACCCGTTTAAACGGGCCAAGTAAGGCCCGCTTTCTTGTACATTCTGTACCGGGCCAGCAACCAGCAATTACGGATGCAGGTAGACCCAGCGCGTGGGCAAGAGATCAGACCAGAATGCATAAGTAATAAAAGATATCTATACATTGTGGCTGGAGCCAGATTGAAGAAGGCGTGGCCACAGGAACTGCCAAGCCCGTGGCACTCTTAGGCTGCGTTTATACTTTGCGGCAGCGTAGCGTAGCGCTTCCAGCGTACGCCAGCCAGAAAGTATAAACGCAGCCTGACCTTGCATTTTCAAGTGGTGGAGTGACAAATTCTGCACGTATCTGGATCTACTCAGTTCACGCAAAGAGGATTTCAATTACCAGGTAATCAAGAAATGGCTTCTTTATTAATACCTGGAACTGCATATGTGTGTGTAGTGTACTCACCAATTACATGACCAGTTACTGCTGTGAACACGAACTGCAATGCGTTCACGCATGGGACAACTACAGACACAGGAAAACGGGACACAAGCATAACGAAGAGTATCTGAAGGAAGTACAAATGAGAAGTCAAAAAGAGATAAGAGCGAATGATCGTTTCATAGCACTCACGGAAGCAGTCTGGTTCACGATAAAGGGTATGGAGAACCTCCAATTCAAAAAGAGATTTGTGAGATCAATGATTGGCGAAAGAAGTCGGCGCCATATTGCGAGAGACTGCTCATCCCCTAAAAAGTATAACATCCAGTGAAATACGATGATGAGACTCTGTCAGGACCGAGTAGTCACCAGGGAAAACTTGATTCCCTTCGCAACATTGGAAACAAATGAAGTTGGATGCTACTGAACGGCATAACCCTACGTGATTTGTTCTGAAAATAATACTAGCAAGTCTTTGAAGCTGTGTTGTTATGATAACTGCTGTTTAACGCCGAAGTTCGCGTTCCGAATGTTATCACAAGAATGCTGACCAGGAAAGGATGTTTGGTCGAAGTGGCCGTTCGACATGAGATGTATACCATCTGATGCCTTTTTGGAAGCTGATTACAAATCTGTTCCATATCTGCTAAACGATTCTCTGAGCAGAGTTGTGCAGGTTTTTGACCTGGTCACCCCTGTTTTCATCATGTATGTAAGGCACAAGAAACCCCCCCGAATTCGCACAAATTCCGAACCAAAGGTTGCTTATGACATCAAGAGGTATACTACAGTCATTTTCCATAGAATCGTGTTCGCATTCCGGTATCGCCGTCTGAATTTGTGGAGCAACTGTGATACTAGGCGTGCGGGGGCTCGTAGTACACGACGCAAGCGTTTTTGCGCTAAATGAGTGTGATATTCGTGTTCTGGGGATCAAATTAGCGTAGAGGCAAGTTTTTAGCAAAGTCTGAGGTTTTGACCAAAATTCGGAGCAGTGGGTAACCATGGCAATACATCCCTTAAGGCCGCATCCACTATTCTCGACTCGAATCCCAGTGTGTATTGGAGTATTTTCGCTGAATTTCAGACCTCATTGGCAACAGACGGTCCTGATCACAAGTATGACCATCACTTTTGGCGGCCGTGCCGCTTGGCGCCAGTTTGGCGACACAGCATAACGTAATGAATGATGGCACCGGAATGAACGAATGAGTGCATTCAGAGGTGTCCCTCAAAACTCCTCCAGAATGGCCCCATTCGTTCAGAAGTATTATTTTTCGGCAAGATTAGGTCTCCTGGCTACGTAAGATGGTTTTAAAACCTGTAGGGGACATTTTCAAAAAAAATACAAAACAACATTCTAACCAAGAATTCGAACCATTGATCGCACAAATATGAGACCCATCGCTTATCCACTAGACCATCGCACTACGTTTGCTGTTCAGTCACACACTGTTTATATAAGTGTTGAGCA